CCCTTCCAATTCGCGCAAGGTATCAGCATGGCGAGGATGAAGACGCCGAGGAGAGGTCCGGACGTCGCCGACGTCATCAGCATAGAAGATTCTATCACGCCGGACAGCATGGCCACTAAGAAACTGATGCCGATTATGAGCAGACCGTAGATGACGCCGATGATTTTGATCGTGCGGAGCTGCTGCGTGTCCCTGAGATCGCTCAGCGCCGGTATATGGCTGAGGAAATCCTCGAAGGTCACCGTCGCTAGCGAGTTGAGATTCGATACCGCCAGAGTTAAGGCGCTGTTGAAGAGAGTCGCCATCACCAGACCAAGCATACCGGGCAGATTCGAGAATTTGTCCTCGACGTAGAACGGCACGATTTCGTCGATCTTGGAGATGTAACCCAGACTCAGCGGGTCGCAGTCGGCGTAATTAGCGAAGATCACCATTCCGACGACCCAAGACAACGAAAACAGCACGGTGATTATAGGTACGTTGGCCATCATTGTTCTGGAAGCAAAGATATTTTTTTAAGCCATGAGAATCGGAAACCACTCGAAATATTAGCTACCTTACGCAACGGTCTAAGAAAGACGTATCGATGCTAATGCGAGGTGGCAACGTAACAATGCAATAACGTGAGCAATTCAGAGGTGTGCTTTGTTGGTAAAACAACTTAAACGGTACGGGGATCGTTTGCTGTTACATAAACGCGTGCCACAATTCTTGCTAAAATTAAACATCATATAATTATCATATGTATTCACGTCTGTTTGTTTTGCAGACATTTTTTTCCTTTTTTTTTTGTTAATTGCTCGCGCAACGTGTTCTCGCGCGCTCACATTGCGGTTGCAGTAACAACTCTGCTGATTTTTATATCTACTTGATGAAGTGACGCTTTACATGAAATTGACTGATAGCACAACAGCGGCTTGCGGTATCAAATGACCATATGACCGAATCACACTCGTACTAGGCATTTAGCAGAAGTCTAGTGGACTTTTATTGAATGTGATATATACAACACGTTATATAGATGTGTATTGCACCTCAAATTTTACGGTTCAAGTCTACTTGCACTTTATTTATTTTATTGTCAAATTGTTTGTCGAGATCGTGGGAATATTTTGCGTAATTTGCATTGTAAAAATCTAATTTATTTTAATTGCAAACAATTAAAGTGTAGAAAGATTAATATTTATTTTTATTTATTAACTATTCTTTTAATTATTCTTAGTATGTAAGATTTACACTGCAGCTTTTCATTTTGCATTTTACATTTTATAATATTTTAAATATCCAGATGCATTATTTTGAACAATCTTAATACGATTATGCAATACGCGTATATTACGCGTATAATGTTCATCTTCCTTCTCTGTAAAATTTAACATAATAGAGCACGACAGTAGCATACATGTTAGAAGGATTTCTTACATAAGCAAAAGTAAAAAAGAAAAATAACGAACATAAAATGCACAATACAATTGGTGAAAGAACTGCCAACAGT